AGGGAGGGAGGGAGGGAGGGAGGGAGGGAGGAGGGGGAGGAGGAGGAGGAGGAGGAGGGGGAGGGAGAGGAGAGAGAGAGAAAAAATGAGAAACTAAAAGCCAGGTGCCTCTGAATTTACATGAAAGAGACATTGTAAAGCCAGGAGGGAAAGTACAAATTGACATAAGAGTATCTTGTATTAGAACATGAAGGGGCCCCAAAACTGGTGAAATGCCAGCCTGACTTGGGAAAAAAACTTGATAGGTATTCAGTGGCCAAATAGAGGGCAATTTAAACATCAAAATTAATAAACCTCAGAACACAAATACCAACGGATGGATGTAAATTGTGGAAAAGGAGGATCTTTATAGGAAAATGCTGACTGAGTGGAGAAGAGAGGAGAAAGATTGCCATCTGTGACCATCTCAGTAATGGTGACTGCGGATGAGTCATGGTTGAGCTAAAGTGGGGATTTGATAAGGCCCAGGATACTCACATTGACATACAATATCTCCCCCAATCCTTATTAATGATGAAGAGGGGGGGTGGCTTTTGATAGAGAACCCTGCCTGGTACTACCTTAATAAAAGTTCAAATTGAAATGGTTGTCATAGCACAAAGAGACACCATAGCTCTTGTAGAAACTGATCATCCAAACTTACCTGTGAGTAAATACAGTTGTTTTACAATTAAAATGCATTCTACAAAACCACAGGCTTGTACTCTATCTTTAAGGCAAAGATTTATCAGATGGAAGCACAGATAGATAGCAACAGGATGCAATGTGGAATCTGATGGGATTCTACCTAGAATGCTATAAAAGAAATTTTCAGTAACATTGGAGAAAATAAAAGTGTGTGTTGCATGCTTGACAGTTTTACTCTTTGAGGGATATTCTTGTTCATGAGACATGTATTTAGAAATGAACTTGATTCTCTAAACATGTAGTTATGCAGTCAGTTTCCCCGTGATCATCATTTGACATCCACCAAGCTTAAAGACTGGCTTGTTTCCCTTCCATTTACAATTTTATCTCATTTCTGTTACTCATTTACAAGGTTCAAAGTACATTGTTTAGTTTCTAAGGACTTGAATAGTCCTTATATCTTTCTGATAGTGATTTCTGGCTAGTCCCTTTATGGTCAGAGAATATACTTTGCATTGATTTCACTTTTAAGTTTTTTAACATTTCAGCTTTTGTCTACAGTATTACCCATTTGGAAGGTGCTTCACATCGTCTTCAACAGAATGTGTAGTCTGCTACTGCTGACTAAAGTCTATAGATACCAGTTAGGTCTCGCTGTCTGATGGTGCTTTATATAGTTCTGGTTTTCTTTTCTAGTGATTGAAGAGTGTTGATGTTTTTACAGTTTTGGATTTTCTCTTCCATGCTGTCAGTTTTGCTCTGCGTTTCCTTTCCGTGATTTGAAGTTCACTCAGGCAGATACCCTTCCTTACCCCACTCTGACTGGTACTCGGCTGCATCCACTTTCTCTTCCTTGGTCATGTGTACATGCAGTTTTTTTCTAAACCATTTGAGAGTTAGCACTTGGACTCCTGCCTTTTTTTCTTAAATATTTGAGTTTATTTCTTAAGGATGAGGACATTGATTTATATAATTATAGGTTATAAAGTTTGGCACCTTTTTTTTTTTTTTAATATGTCTTATTTAAATTTTTCCATTGTAACTTTTCCCCTGTTCAGGACCAGGATCCAGTTCAGGATTGCATACTATTTGCTTTTCATCTTTTAAAAATCTGCTTTGATCCTGAATGTCTCCTTAACCTTTCTTTGTAAGGCATTAGTATTTCCATTTAAGGAACAGTGGATGTTTTTAGATATAGTACAATGTCTTTGTGAAAATAGCATCTGGGCATGCGCTATCCTTTTCAGAGCACTTACCAAGAGCTGTGCTAGCAGTTTGTGCTGTTGGCAATAGCAAGGAGAGATGCAGGTGGTATCACTACCAGCAGTGACACAGCTTTATTGCCGTGTTTTGTTTCTTTATTAATCATTAACCTCTTCCTTCCCTCTTCATCCTTTTCTTTCCCATTTCGTTCTCTCTTCCCTTCCCTTCCTTTCCCATCTTTCCCCTCTTCCTTCCCTCCCCCTTCCACCTCCCTTTTCTTCCTTTCAAGTTTTAGGGATTGAACCCAGGGCCTTGCATATTAGATGAACACTACCACTGATGTATGCCCCCCTAGCCACTCCTGACACACACCTTTTAACAATTGAGATGGGTCTTGTCCTTGCCCAGTTGGTTTTAGAGTCTTGGCTTGGAGCAGTTTTTAAGCCTCAGCCTCTGAATGGTTGCGATAGTGATGGCTGCACATCCCAGCATAGAATTTGCTGACATTAGCTGACATCTCAGTGGTGCACACTGAGTAAAGGGAAGTGCACTGTTAGGGGAGAGGTGTGTGCAGTAGGGAACTAAATCTGGAGTTAGGGTTGGAGTCCTGGCTGGGAGGAGGAGGGCTTTCATGTGACAGACATTCCATAGTGAAATGCTGGGGTATCTAACTTTGCAAATGATGATTGTTTAAAAACTAGCAGTCTTAAGTTAGAACAGAAGAATAATAAATCCCAATTCAATGATATGTTCTCTCTCTCTTTTTTTCTTTTATTCTCCAGTTTTACATTGAGATCAGAAGGCTATAATAGAAGACCAAGTGGCCGTCGCCATAGCAAAAGCAATCCAGAGAGTTCCTTAACATGGAAACCTCAGGAGCAGGGTGTAACAGAGATGATCTCTGAAGAGGGTGGCAAGGGTGTGAGGCGGCCCCATTGCACTGTGGAGGAGGTAAGTCCTTTCAGCCTGATACCTTAAATGTTTTTAGTGGCTTTATAATTTGGGTAATAATTTGTGTACTGTGGCATACAATTCAAAAGGTACTGGAGGGGTACAGTGACCCTGAGTGTCCCAGCATCCCGTCCCTTGCTGGCCTCCCCAGCCTGCGTTGACTCGTAGTAAGTACTCTTGCTGCACAGTTATCGACCCAGAGCTACTCTAGACACGCATAGTTTGAGTTAGTTTCAGATGTTAGGTCCACCTAGAAGAAGGAGAGAATCCTGTTAGAAAGAGATTGCTTTTTCTATTTTAATTTTGAAGGTAGGGTCTCCACATAGCCCGAGCTGGCCTGCAACTCACTCTGTAGCCCAGGCTGGCCTCTAACTCACAGAAATTTGCCTGCCTTTGCCTCTTGAGTGCTGGGATTAGACACATGCACCGTCATGCCCTGCCTAACTTAGTTTTATAACTTCAGTAACTGTGATGAAGTGAAGGTGCTAAATGATGTTGATGTGTCACTCTGCTTTTCCTCCCCTCTCAGAGCGCGTAGTGTAATGAAGAGATAGTCCTTCATTTCTCTCTGGAGAGCTTCACTTAGTCCAGGAATGTTGAGGAGGATTTCTGTCTCTGGCATTTCCCAATACCATCCGCTGTTTTAATTTGGTAGATGGTTTGGGAGCTATTTGCTTGGCTCATCGAAATATTTATTCAAATCCCAGACACTGCACTAGTTTTCAGGAATTGGGGATGTGTATACTAGATTTGGCCCCTGCCTTCAGGAGTTTTACATAACTTAGAGTTCAGCAAACAGGCCAAGGAACAGTGGGCCAGAGGCCCTCTGTGGGTTTTCAGAAGAGAAGCCTGAGTGTTTTAGGAGATCTGAGACAGGACTAAGCAGATAGATTCCAGGACAGTGGGTCTCAGTCTTAGCAAGGACACGTTTGTTAATTGAGAATAATCACACATGGCATCCAGGGAAAACCTGAGGCCCAGATTTCAGTTCTGGATAAATATATGTCACTGACCAAGATACCCTGTGTGTTTAGGGGGAAGATGCTGACTTCAGTTTTGGACATTGTTTAAAGTGCCTGTGAAACACGCAAGAAGACCTCTCCTGTAGACTCTTGGATATAGGTGATGGGAATTTTGAGAAGAAGGCAGGGTTAGAGACACGTTTCTGAATTTTCTACATATTGATGTAATTTAATTCAAGGGAGCTGATAAGATTTTTCAGGGGAAGAATGGAGTGTGAGATGAGATGTGGGCAGAGCCGTCAGCATTTATGGCAAGCAGAACGAGAGTAATGGGCAGTGGAGACTGGAGAAAAAATCAGAGTTTACTGTCCAGGAAGGCCAGGCGAGGTCAGCTGGGTGAGGTGCTGAGGGTGACCATGGACCATAAAGCCTGAGACTACACATTAATGTGGCTGCAAGGCCATTGGTGATGTGGACTTGGATTATCAAGTGGATTATTTCTGTTAATTTCTGGTCAACTCAATTTTGTTCAACAAAAAAAGTTCTGTCAAAGACGTAAATGCCTCCAAGATCAAGCACAGCGGTTCTCAACCTTCCTAATACTGTGACCCTTGAATACACTTCCTCATGTTGTGGTGACCCCCACCCCAACCATAAATTATTTTTGTTGCTACTTCATAACTGTAACTTTTGCTACTGTTATGAATTATAATGTGAACATTTGATATGCAGATGGTCTTAGGCACCGCTATGAAAGGGTGTTCAACCCTCTGGGGTCGGTACCTGCAGGTTGAGAACTGGTGCTCCAGCAGACAATGTAATGACTAAAGTAGGATGAAAAGCAAATGGCCTACCTAAAGGGCATAGCTCCAGGTTAATTCATTTTTTTCTAAAGAGGTCAGGATTTGGGATTTTTAAAATTTTTTATAAAGTTGGTATTTAATGAAAGCAACTTAAGAACAGTGTGCCCCAAATACAGTCCATCTGTGGACTGCATCTCACTGGCCAATGTATGGTTAGATTTGAGTTTAGGCTTTATGTGCGACTATTGACCATGCATACTTTTTTATTCAGGGTGTCCAAAAGGATGAAAGAGAAAAATATCGAAAGCTGTTGGAGCGACTTAAAGAAGGTGGTCATGGAAGCACTCTGCCTCCTGTCGCTTCACATCACAGGTGAGAGTTGACAGGATGGACGCTTTGTAGCATGTGTCCTTGTCCTGTTTTTAGAGAGGTGCTGGTGTGAAGAGAACCGGCTGCATCGTTTGTCTTACAAAATGGGATTTCCTGTTAGCTTTAGAGTCCTTTGCCTACACAAACCCTTTTTTTTGTGGTTGTTGTGGTTGAGAGTGTGATCTCACTATCTAGCACAGGCTAGCCTAGAACTTGAAATTCTCCTGCCCCAGCCTCCCACATGCTGAGATTATATGCATTGGAAACCATATCTAACTCACATGAACTCTTATTCATGTACAGAAAGGGAATCACTGCCCAACCTCCTCCACACGAGCATTTCCCACAGTTTCTGTCTCTCTGCCTTTGTCCTAGCTCCTTTCTTCTGCTCATCTTTCTGTCCCTTCTCTCCTTTTTTCTCTTTATTCCCTCACAGCCTCTCCTTCTGTATTTCATTTTTCTTACTGCACGCACACACACATACAGTCTCTGAGGTATCTAGTGATTGCATTTTAGCATCCTCTACTTAGAAATAAAATTAAAGTTAACTGGGTCATAAGAACTTTGTTTATGTGATTGCTTGTTAATTAAATATGCCAGCGATTTGAACAGGTAGATAACAGCAGCAAAAGGAAGTGATGTCTAGTCTTACATTTATCTGGAGGAATGGGCAGGAAGGTATAAATTCAGGATTTCAGTTCACCTGGTAATCCTAACAAGTGATTGCAAATACACCGAGTCCCACGAAGTATAGAACTATCAAGTTGAGTTACAGAATTGTCTAGCTTACTGAATACAGAAAAAATAAATTATTATTTGGGAGTTTTAACTTTGGTTATTGCATATCATATGGGTTTTCGTTGTCGTCCTGGTGTTGTGGGTCGGAATGTTAGTCCTTTCTCCACTGTGACTGAGGTCTTTCCTTTTGTGCCTGAGCTGATGTTCTTCCTTTTGTCTTCCTAAGTTCTCAGAGAAGTCAGATGGATACATTAAAGACCAAAGGCTGGGTGGAGGAGCAGAGTCATGGAGTCAGAACAACCCACTTTGTTCCAAAACAGTGTGAGTTCTAGATTTAGCTCTATCTTAAGATATTGACCGTAGTTCATGTAAGAGCATGCTTGTTTAAAATTGGCACACTACTCAAAGATGGTATACCACGCTGTAAGTATTGTCAGGCTGTAAGGCATTGGCTAGCAGACCTGAAGTTTTATTTTAAAAAAGAAAATTGCTTTAAGATTAAGTTGAATTGCGAAATGTCTGTATAGTAGTATATTTTGTGAGACTAAAATTAACTGACTTCATATTAACTTCCTTAAATTTCTCCAAGAATTGTTCACTGAATGACTAGCTTATCAGATGATCTGGTGTCAATTTGTGCTCAAGAGTATATTGAAGAAAGAGAAAGTTACATGTATTTTAGGTGCTTGTATGTGAGGCAGCCGTGGATTTGGAGTTCACATTAGCATCAGTGCAAACAAATGTCCTGATACTTTGAATCTGAGAGTTGAATTTCCAACCTGTGACTGGCTAGTAAAGATCTTTCTTTTTATTCCTACAGACAGAGTTGTTGAAACAAGGGGACCTCTCTGTTCAATGAGAAGTGAGAAGAGGTATGTGGCCCATTTAATTCTAAGATTTCATTTAGAGTAAGTCTTCTCACAAGTTACATTTATGAATAACCATGAGGAACTTTGGATCTCCTCAGGCGGCTAACTAGTCAGCACTGTAAGTAGATAAATAGTTCTTAAGTCACACACTTCTAGGCTGCCCTCATCTCTTAGCCATCGGGGTTTGAGGAAGTAGGTGTTTCTTAGGAGTATGGGTGGGTGGCATCTCCAGTGGCTACTGTCCCAAGCGTAGGAACAGTGAACGTAGTCCTGCTCTCCTTAGGACTTTGGATGGTTATTTTATTAGCAGACTTTGCCAGGAGTGGCCAAGGGTCCAAATCTGGCCCATCTGTTCTTGTTAGGTAAATCACAGAGGGAAGGAAGTGTGAACCAAGCTACAAAGCCTGAAATTTTATTTCTGGGTCCTTTTCAGAAAGATGTGTTGACCATTGGTTTAGAGGACTATATAAACTCAAAGCCATTTTAAGGAAACATGTGTTTATTATTTATAAATTAAATGCCAGGATAGGTTCCAGAAAGACATAAATGTATCCTCAGAGAACTCACAGTGGGGTAATTATTGTGCATAGTTCACTACACGTAGTAACTATCACTCACATGCTGTGAATCTTAGGTACTTCATAAGAGTAGAAAGAAATTGGTATATCAATATCCAAACAGAAATCGTATAGGACAGTTTGAAAAGTTTGTTGAAGTTTACAACTTTTCAAAGGCTTGTTGGATTACCGTCTCAGATCAGTTGAGTAGGTGTTACTGTCTATTCTGTGAGCCGAGTTCTGACAGAACCAGTGTTGTAGAGGATTGATTTTGACTCAGGGTTCAGCCCATTGTGATGGGTAAGCACGGCAAGGTAGTGGTAGATCAGGAAGCGGAGGAAGGGAATGCTTGCTTGTCACCAGTCTCCTCCCAGCTTCCAGTCTGGAACGGTGAGCCCTCATAGACATATCCTGTCTACTAGGTGACTCTGAATCCAGTCATGATTACCATTGCAAGTTCACCACATGGACAGCATGTCTTACCAGCTTGACAATAGCTGAGCTCCCTTGGACCACAACTGCCATGGCCTCTGAGTGTTTAGGTGGATGGCCGTAGGCAACTCTCTGCAAGGAAGGTACCTTTCTTCTTGAGGCAGCCTTCAAAACGACATTACAGGGCTGGCAAGATGGCTCAGGAGCTTACCACCAAGTCTGAAGACCTGAGTTTGATTCCCAGAACCCACATGGTAGAGAGAACCAACCTTCTGAGGTTGCCTTCTGTTTTACTTGTGTATCACTGAACTTTTCACCCCCTCCAATAAATACATAAGTGTAAGAGTTCCAGAAACAAAAAGCAAACCAAACAAAGAAACTGCTCTGATAACAATAAAGCAGTCAATAAGGCAGGGTCACAGTTTTGTGCTTTAATCATGGGGCCAGTTGTTTAGTCTAGGGAAGAGTTGCTGAGTGTTTTTTGGGGGACAGGGCGGCTGGGGTGAGTTAGCAGTACCAATCCTTTTTAATAATTACATCCTCCTCGTTCATCACTGTCATCCTTTGGTTCAAGTCTTCTGTAAGCTTGGCCATGCCACATCCTGACTGCTGAGCTGTGTTTCTTCAGTTGGTCACTGCTCCCCCACCCACCTTTTTTCAAGAGAAGGGGCAGGGAGGGCACGTGTGTGTATGTGTGCAGAGGTCAGAGGTGGAGACATTAGATGTCTTCCTCAGTCATTTTCTACTCTTTTTTAGACACGGTCTCTCACTGAACCTGGTGCTCGTTGATCTGGCTAAACTGGCTGGCCAGCAAGCCTTAGCCTCCTGTCCCCTCCTCTCTAGAGCTGGGATGATAAGCATGTGCTGTAACACCCAGCTTTTACATGGGTGCTGGACTTAGACTCAGTGTTTTACCAACTCATCCATGTCTTCAGCCCCTTTTTCCAGTCTTTTGAGATAGGGTCTTACTGCGTAAGTAAGGCTGACCTCAAACTCATGATCCTCCTGCCTCTGCCCACTGAGTGCAGAGGTTACAGGCATATACCACCTCTTCCTATACCCCATCCTCTTTAAAATCACCCTGAGATAAGCTTCTGGGTTGCAGAGAAAATCGAGCTATTCTTCAACTTGTAGTCCCAGGGTCCCCGTCTGAACCTCATGAGTGCAGTCCATTGTCTGCATTTCTTTCGGCATGGTGGTTTTCTCAGCACCTGTCAGAATCTCCGTTCAGCTCTGCTTTTAGCATTCTAGAGTAGTGCTCTCTCCTGTATCTCCATTTTCCCTGTGTCCTTCCTTCAGACTAGTTGTAGAACTGTGAGATCCACAGAGAGGTCTAGTTACAGCAGCAGCCACACTTCCCTGACACCAGTCCTTCATGTTATTTCCACCACTGCTGTGAAAGTGCCCGACGGACGACTTGAGGGACGGTTGATTTAACTCACAGTTGTAGAGGCCAGCCATCATGGTGAGGGAAGCATTAGAAAGAGTGGCACGGTTTATCTGCGGCAGGCCAGGAGTCGGACAGGCCAGGCCAGCCCTCCAGACCACCTTTGTTCAGAGATTAGTAAATCCTAATTAAAATCAAAGAAAGAATTTGAGACAGGATCTCAGTTTAGCCCAGGCTAGCCTCAAACTCATTGTTTAGCCTTGAGCAACTGATCTTCCTGCCTCCAGTTCCCTGAGTTCTGGGATTACAGATGTGCACTACTAGTAAATCTTACTTCTGGAACTAATACGCACTACGTTAAACAGCAGAAGTGTAAATCTGACGGTTTCCTTCTCAGGTACTCAAAGGGAAAAGCTGATACAGACAAGATGGTGGGGCTCCGCCTAGAAAAGGAAGGTGTAAGTAGAAGTCCTTGGTAAAGGTTGGTTTGGTTGTTTGGTTTTGTTTTTCCAGACAGGGTTTCTCTGTGTAGCCTTGGAGTCTGTCCTGGAACTCACTCTGTAGCCCAGGCTGGCCTCAAACTCAGAGATTCACCTGCCTCTGCCTCCCGAATGCTAGGATTAAAGGTGTGCGCCACCACCGCCTGGTCTATTTTCAGTGCAAGTATTAGAGTCAGTGTTTCAGTGATCTCTATATACACACTCAGGGTTTTTGTTTTGTTTTGTCTTGTTTTAACTTTCTTTTTATTTTATGGGCATTGGTGTTTTGCATGCATGTATGTCTGTGTAAGGATGTAGGGTCTGCTGGAACTGGAGTTACAGTTGTGAGCTGACACGTAGATGCTGGGAATTGAACCAAGGTCATTTGGAAGAGCCATCTCTCCAGCCTTCATACTCAGGTTTTTAATAACAAAGTATTTTGCTAAAAATTTAGTATCTGGCAGAAGTATATTTCTCTCTCTCTCTCTCTCTCTCTCTCTCTCTCTCTCTCTCTCTCTCTCTGTCTGTCTGTCTGTCTGTCTACCTACCTTTTGAGTCAGGGTCTCACTGTGTAGCCTTGGCTGGCCTAGAGCTTACTGTATAGACCAGATTGGCCTCAAACTTGTAGAGATCCACTTCCCTCTGTCCCCTGATTGATTAACTAATTAATTAATCCCTCTGCTAGGATTACAGGTGTGCACTGCCACACCCCACACAGGAAAAGATTTCTTGATTAAATGCAACTGAATCTTTTTTTCTCTGTGTAGCTTTGCGCCTTTCCTGGCACTCACTTTGTAGACCAGGCTGGCCTCGAACTCACAGAGATCCACCTGCCTCTGCCTCTGCCTCCCGAGTGCTGGGATTAAAGGCGTGCGCCACCACCGCCCGGTGCAACTGAATCTTTACGTTACTCACATTTTAGTTACATCGAATTACAAAAGAGTTTAAGTCTCAAAACATTCCCTTATCTAATGTTCTCTGTTTCTAGTGATTCTAGATCGCTCTTTGTGTTTAATTATCATTTATCATGGATTTAGCGAAACAAAGAGTGCTCATAGTCTTAGCACTTGGGGAGGACAAGTCTGGACAGTACAGTGAGAGCTGTTCATTCTATATAATGGAGGAGGGGATGGGGACTGCCTGGCAGTCAGCAAGAAGGAAGAATGCTCAGTGGTATCTTGAGACTACAGTGACTCTACTCCAGAGTTATCTCTAAATCCATTTCCTAACTCTTGTAAGGTGTGGGTTTTATATATGGGGGCAAAATAGAGGACTAGACTGTAGTTCAGTGGTAGTGTTTGTCTAGCGTGTTAAAGGTCTTAGGTTACAACCCCAATACAGAAAGAGGAAGAAGTAAATTGAAGCAGGTTTAACTAACACAGGCTGACCCTGAATAAGGACAGAAGTCGATTTCTCTGTATGATGCTCTGCAGGCCATAGTTTGTGCCTTTCTAGAATTCATAAACACCTTTTAACCACATTTTAGATTGGGATAGGAACTGAACATGATTTCCTTCCTACTCCCTGAGGGATGGCGAGGGTTTCAGTTTTCAGTTGATATGCCCTGTGGGCCTTTGTTTAACTCTGAAGCTTCTGCCCACCCTTGCCAGAGCAGACAGACAGGCTGAGTCTGTCCTGCTGTCTGGAGAGATGCCAGTTCTCATATTCTCTCTCTTAAGTTAATGTCAGAGTTTTACACTTTTTATTAATTTTATAAACACCATACACCAAAACTAAGCAGACCCAAAGTCTGTACATCTTCGTGAACTGTATGTACAGTTTTACAAAGGCCACTTGGAACAGAGGCTGTGTGGCTTCACATTGGAGTTTACACTTTCACTATCAAATATATTTTTATGCACTTATTCACCACCCAAAATGAAAATCCATGAGAGGTAAAACTAGAAAACAGTTAGCTCTGTATCTTCTTTCATAACTTGTACAGCACTTTATATTCCATATGTAGTGTGTAGTAGTGTGTATGTGCAAGATGAAGCATGTCAACGTTGGAACTCTTTTGGTCAGACAAGGGGACACCAACTGGAGCCCGACCTGTCCGAAGAAGTCTCTGCCCGGCTTCGCCTTGGAAGCGGAAGCAATGGCTTACTCAGGAGGAGAATGTCAGTGCTCGAGGCAAAGGAGAAGAGCTTCCCTAGCAGAGAGAAGGAGAGAAGAGCAGAACTCTCTGAACTTACAGAGGTATAATTCCTGTGTGGGCCAGAGAAAGGTGGCTGCTTTAGTCCAGCCAGTTTCTCTAGACTTACATGCATGCTGTGTTCTGAGGAGTTTCTCCAGATATGGACTGAATGTATGAAGTTATAAAAACGAAACAAGAGCTGGACTCTGGGTCAGCTTGTGCTGCTGTGTTGATCATCTGTGGTCTGTGGGAAGGTGGCTTGATGGACAAGTATACTTAGTTTTGGTTCTTTTCTCTTCTGAAACTGGGTCATGGTTGTTACTTAGCCCAGGGTGGTCTGGAACTCATGGCTGTCCTCTTGCTGCTAGCCTCCGAAATGCTGGAATGTGAGCATGTGCTATCATACCTGCCCGTAATTGATTGTTTTTCTACCCTTCAAATGTTTTGAGTTTTAAAATATGGTATCAAATGAATGTATTGAACATTTTTAAAATTATGGTTTTCTAAAACATCCTTTTTTTAATTGATTACCGTACTTGAATATAATGAAAGTTTATTAAAAAAAATTGGAAATGAAAGTAGTTAAAATTCTTATTTTAAAGGGGATTCCTCATACTGGCTCTTCCTCCCCTGTTGTCTTGGTATTTGTGTGGAGGAGTTCACTTAAGAGTGATCTCTGCACAGGAGTTCTTGTAGTTCATCTCTACTGCCATAACGTGGATCAGAGTGGTTTGGGGGGAGAAGGGTTTATTTTTGCTCTCCCTTCCAGGTTTGAGCGCGTGTATTTTAGCTAGATGTATCACACCAACAGTCAGGAGCAAAGAGTGAGTGTCTAGATGCATGACCACTCAGCCCTGTTTCTCCATTCTGCTGGGTTCCTCCACATCAATTGACTTAACAGTCAAATTGACTTAACAGTCCTCCACAGACATGCCCACAGGGCAACTAAATGTAGGTGATCACTAGCTATAATTCTCTTCTCTAGGTCCTGTCGAGATGAACATTAAAGCTAACCATGACAGAGGTAGAGATATCAAGTCTTAATTACAAAATTATGCGGAAAGATAAAAAACAATAGTGGAAATAATTTTGATTGGGTTCATAAGCTAAATATACATTTAGTTGCATAATTCACTAAAATAATTCAAGGAAGGATAGCCATTATTACTTTACTGTTTTGGCTTGGTTTGGTTTTTTTTTTCCTGAGACAGGATTTCTCTGGCTGACCTAGAACTCACTCTGTAGACAGGCTGACCTCAAACTCACAGAGATTCACCTGCCTCTGCCTCTGCCTCCTGGGACTAAAGGCATGTGCTACCACCACCTAGCTTATTAAGATTGTTTAATAGTTGAAAATTTGAATGTTCTTACACTGCAGTTTTGTAGCTCTTGAATAGTGGATTTTCTCAAAGATCACCAGGTGTTGCTGAGATGAAAGGCTTTTTTTTTTCATTCTGAGGCTTTTGATACCTGATAGTGGTTCTATGCTAAAGTCACATCCTCTGGATCTTCTAATTCAGGACATGGAAAAGGAAATCAGTAATGCCCTGGGCCATGGACCACCAGATGAGATCCTAAGCAGCGCTTTCAAATTGCGAATTACCCGAGGAGATATCCAGACCTTAAAGAACTATCAGTGGCTCAATGATGAGGTGAGTTCCGTCTGTTTGTCCTGTGACTGTCATTCTGTGTAGTCATCCACTGTCTGTTGTCAAAGTGACTTCTGCCCAGTTACAAGGGCCTGGGGAGTGACTTCAGTTTCTGTTTGCTGCCTTTTGTCTAGTGACAGGGGTCACTAGAACCAGGGGTCTCCCACGCTAGGCAAGCAAGTGGTCTGCACTCAGCTGCGTCCTCTGCCCTTTGTTTTTCCTTTTATCTCCTACTTTGAGACAAGCTTCCACTAAGTTGTCCAGGCTGGCCTTATCTTACATAGTTCAGACAGGCCTTGAACCCTGTTGTGATCCTCCTGCCTCACCATATCCTCCTGAATAACTGGGTCGTAGGCTTTCCCACCAGCCCCAGGGATTGTTTGTTGTTTTGCTGTTCTTTTCATGCTGGAAATTGAACCTAGGATCTTGTGCAAGCCCTCTCCCACTGAGTTGTGCACCACCTCATTAGTGCAAAACATCTCCTTAAAAATGTAGTGAGGTGGCTGTGGTGGCACATGCATTACATCCAGTAGAACTCAGGAGGCAGAGGCAGGCAGATTTCTTGAGTTTGAAGCCAGCCGGGGCTACATAGTGAGACCTTGTCCTCTGCCACCAAAGGCAGGCATTGCACACAGTTCTGGTTCCACACAGCCCAGTCTCGATGCCTGCAGCTTCACTGTCTGCTGCTGGTACAGTGGTGGGGAGTGGTGCTTGGGCCCCCCACACGGGAAGGAAAGGGGACCGTGGCTCGTTCTGCCTTCAGCTGCTTTATAAGGTAGTCTCTCCATGGGTAGAGTGCTCATGAGTGAGTCATTGCCTACACCATCACACCGAGTTGAGTATTAGGTTTCTGTGTAAGTCTAGAGAAAGGACAAGAGAGATGATGCAGCAGTTAAGAGTGCTTGCTGCTCTTCTGCGGACCCTCGTTTGGTTCCCAGCACCCACGTCCCCTGGCTTAACAGCTATAAAGGATCTTATGTCTCTGGCTCCATGGGACCCTGCATTCAATGTGCATATACCCACATGTATATACATAGTTAAAAATAAATCTTAAAGAATTTTTGATTGATATGTGTTCAAGCCATAGCAAACGATAAATATAAAAAGTCACTCAATGTATTGTCTGCGTCAGTACATATTCTGCAAAGGCTGGCTTATTTCTTACTACTTTTTCAGTTAGCCAACTGCTCTGTCCTTGATTTTCTCTCATTTGCTCCGTCTTCCTGTGTCACAAGCCTAGTTATATGAAAGTACTGTCATTTGTAAATGTAATTGTAAATATGCTTGTTGTAAAATTTTTGAAAAATACTTTATATTTGAAGAAATTATTGTTCAAAAGCTTCATACATATCTTGACATTTCTTTTTCCGGGAAATATATCGGAATTGAGGTTAATTTTAGATATAATGATATAGCTAATAGTTCATTTTTCTGCATAACAGTTGCATATACCTTCTCATTATTGAATAGAAATGTGATTCATGTGCTTCAAAATTATAGTCACATGACTTGCTGCATTTCATTTAGGGAGATGGTCTAGTACTGGGAATTGAATCCAGGGTTTTGTATGCATTACACAAGCACTGTACCGTTGAGCTCAGTCTGTAGCCCTTTATCCTTCTTTGTCTTGCTCGTTTGTACTGAACAGTTTTCTGACTTCTTGCATGGAGTGCCCTTTCCCTAAGCATCTCACTTTCTGATTCAGATAGGAATTTAATTTTGTAATGTATCTGCCATGTTCCAAATTTTAATCTCTTGGTATTTTACAGGTCATTAATTTTTACATGAATCTTTTAGTGGAAAGGAGTAAAAAGCAAGGCTATCCAGCACTTCATGCATTCAGTACATTCTTCTATCCTAAATTAAAGTCTGGGGGTTACCAAGCAGTGAAAAGATGGACCAAAGGGGTAAATCTCTTTGAACAAGAACTTGTTCTGGTACCTATTCATCGGAAGGTGCATTGGAGCCTGGTGGTGAGTTGAGAGGGTTAATTGTTGGCACTTGGTTATAGACTCCTCTCCCCTTCCCTTCTCTCTTCTCCCTCCCTTACTTCCCTTCTTTCCCTGACCTTCTCTTCTCACCTTCCTCCTTCCCTCTCCTGTCCCCCTTTTCCTCTGTCCACACTTCTTTCCTTTCTTGTCTTGGGGATCAATCCCTGAACCTCGTACAAGCTAAGAAAGGATTCTCCTGCTGATTGCAGCCCTAGTGTAGATGATTGTCCTCAACAATGAAGGCTGTTTCACTCTCCAGTGAAGGAAATAAGGCCAACAGTGTCTGAAAGGCAAGCTCTGCAGAGTCCTTTCTCTAAGTGTTGATTTGTTCAGCTTCAAAAGCTGCAAGGCATGCGTTGAGGAGGAGCTTTGACTTTTATCAGAAAGATGCGGGGGAAAATCCCTTACTAGGAGGATTATTGATGCCTGATGAACAGCTTCTAGGCCTTTGTAGAGGAATTGAAGTATGTCTTGTTAATCTCAAACCATCTGTTTATGAACTAGAAGTTCATAAATCTGTTCATATTGTTACATGTGTTAAAAATTTTAAAATGGTATTATTTTTAGAAATAAAATCATACTGCTATGAGTGTTTATGATGTTTCTGGCATGGTATGATAGCACATGCCGGGATCCCAGTACTTAGGAGGCTGAGGGAGGAGGAGCTGGTGTTCACCCAGGCTGGGTTCAAACAGCAAAAAAGGATGTCTAAGGATTTTTGTCTTTTTCCACATAGGTAATGGACCTAAGAAAAAAGTGTCTTAAATATCTGGATTCTATGGGACAAAAAGGCCACAGGATCTGTGAGGTTCTTCTGTAAGTAAAATCTGCAAGTCTTACTTCTGTGCTGTTTTCCTCCATTGGATGGCCTCTCTTCTGCTTAATCCTAGGACGCTCTGAGTGGCTGTCTTAATGTGTAGTATGAGTAACACCTAATGATAGGAAGTGCTTCTTCAGGGCTTCGTTAAATCCACCTGTTTGTCTAAAACTAACGTAGGAGCTGATCACAGCTGAGAGTTTCTGTTTGCTAAATCATGGACGGCAACTTTGCAGGTGTTTCCATGGAAGGCATTCTCTAGAATCCCGATTGGAATTAGATTTCCTTGAAATTGGAATTCTAGGTGTTCTGAAAAACTGTTAGCCAGGGAGTCTTGGCCTGTAATCCTAAAGTCACCTTGTATCTCTGTGGCTCATTTCATAGAACTCAGGGATTTTTTTTTTTTTTTAAAGGCATGTGCTAACCCAAACCTACTTTTTTTTTAAAGATTTATTTATTTATTATGTATACAGTATTCTGCCTGCATGTGTCCCTGCAGGCCAGAAGAGGGTACCAGATCTCATTACAAGTGGTTGTGAGGCACCATGTAGTTGCTGGGAATTGAACTCAGGACCTCTGGAAGAGCAGTTGGTGCTCTTAACCACTGAGCCATCTCTCCAGCCCCCCTCAGGGATGTTTTTTAAATAAAGTGTGTGGTTTGTGCAGGCAAGTATTCCAAGTACAGTAGTCCCCACCCAGTGTTGTTAGGTGTATATTCCAGGTGAGCATCTACAACTACAGCAGTGAAGAACCAACCTGTGTGGACTGCTTTGTCTCAAAGTATGGAAGTTCATCTGTTTTCCCGTGTTTCAGGAACCCCCTTTGTGTTGCTATTTTTGCCTTTAGGAGCCATTATTAAGTAAAATAATTGCTACTTGGACACAGATATTCTGCTGTCCTGATAGTAGATCTGCTAATCGAACAGTTGCAATTATGTATAGAATGATGGTATAGAGCAGGGCTTCTTAAACATTGCCCACTTCTCTTTCCACCTGAGAAATTTCTGTGTGTCCCTAGGCACACAGGCACATAAAATAGTGTTCATACAGTCAAACATTTTCTAATAAGAGATGGGCCTAGGAAGTGAACTTAATGGCAAGCGTTGGCAGCAAGCCCCTTACCAGCTGAGCCGTCTTGCTGACTCCCCCCCACCCCCAACTCACTCTGTAGCCCAGGCTGGCCTCCAACTCAGAGATCTGCCCGCCTCTGCCTCCTGAGTGGTGGGATTGAAGGTGTGCATCACCACAGCCTGACACAAACAGCAGTTTTTAAAATCAGACATTCTAACATTGAATACAACCCAGAGATATATTCATTTGATGCTTTTATGCTGGATAGAAAAATAGTATAATTAGACAGATTTGTTTCTATAGGAGCGGGAATCTGTGTACAGTAAAAAACTTGGCATTCATAATGTGCAGTAGTCTCCAGGCTGAGGTGAGGCATTTGGGTCAGCTCTGGTTAGTGTGTGACGGTACAGGCAGTGCACAGGACACATGCTGTGTCTTGAGAACCACGGCTGTAGTGAAATGGCTGGTGCTGCTGATGCAGCATGGGCCACTGCTGCCCCAACACCTCCTTAGTTCATAATATCATTAAACCAAACAACATTTGGTACTGGTTGGTGAACATTCGGAGACCTGCTGTTGCCATAGTTTTGTGGCTGCCATCTTTAGTCACATGACCCTATATCATGGTATGACCCACACTTCAGAAGCTCCTGGGTGTATATTGTGAATGTTGTGCGTAAAGCAGGCAGTACCAGATTTCCTCATGCTACTTAGAGTAGTGTGCAGTTTAAAAATTATGAAATGCTTCTTCCTAGAATTTTCTATTTCATATTCTTGGACTGAGATAACTGAAACCATAGAAAGTAAAACCTTGGAGAAGGGGGACTCCATTAGTAATTGCTAGAAACCTCCCTTAAAAGCATAGGTACTTCTTCGTTGTCCTGATTGGTTGTGTATTTAAAGTGCATCAATAAGCTCAATGTACTGGAGTTTTATGTCAGCTTGATACAAGCTAAAGTTCAGTGAGGAAGTAACCTCATTTGAGAAAGTGCCTCCCTAAGATGGGGCTGTAGGCAAGCCCAGTTGATGGGGGAGGGCCCAGCCAGTTGTAGATGGTGCCATCCCTGGGCTGGTGGTCCTGGTTCTATAAGAAAGCAGGCTGAACAAGCCATGTGGAGCAAGCCTGTAAGCAGCACCCTTCTGTGGCCACTGCATTAGCTCCTGCCTCTGAGCTCCTGACCTGACTTCCTTCAGTGATGGACTACATGTGGAAGTGTAAGCCTAATAAACCCTTTTCTCCCCAAGTTAATTTAGTCATGGTGTTTTGTCACATTAGTGACAACTCCATAGTCTTTTAAACTTTGGCAACAACAGCTCCTGCTTTTAACTTGAGTAAGGATGAACAGAAATGCAACATTCATTTTACAAAGAACAGTTATTGAGATAATCAGTTTTCTTAACGGTTCCAGAAGAAAACCATGCATTCAAAAGTTGTGGGCAGCACAAACTGGACATGATGGTTTTGTTTATTTTAATAAAAGGGGACACACAGTTGGAAGAGTAGGGAAGGGAGGATGGATCTGGGAGGACTGGAGGAGGGATGGGAGTATGATCAGAATAGTACAAAATTCTCTAAGAACTAATACAGAGAAATTATTAATAATAGTTTATTTTACTTTTTCCTCAATATTTTAGTGTAGATCTTTTTTACTGATGGTTAACTTAGACAAACGTATAGAGAAGAAATATTTAATACTCAGAAGATACTAAATTGTTTATGATCCTTATAGTATTTATTGTGTAAAAGTATTAGATGTAGATATGTGTGTATATACATGTATTGTCCCCTGCATAGAGATTTCCTAGTAAAATCACACAGTATGCTGTTCTGTGCTGCTTGCTAATACTTTTATTATATTTTTACTCTTCTTACTGTCTTTGAAAGGTTCCTGGATGTAGCTAATCCCTCAGTGCAACACACACTATTTAGTTTTATTTTGTGTGTATGAGTGTTTTTGCCAGCATATCTGTATATACCTTGTGCCCACTGAGGCTAGAAAAGGATATCAGAGTCACTGGAAATGGAGTTACAGATGGTTGTGAGCTGCCATTTGGGGACTAGGAACTGAACCTGGGTCCTCTGTAGGAGCAAATGCTCTTGTAACCACTGAGCCATCATTCTAGCCCCCAAAGATTTAGTTATTTTTATTTTATGTGTATTGGCGTTTTGCCTCCACATATGTCTGCTCATCATGTACCTTCTGGTGGCCATGAAAGCCAGAAGGGCCACGAATCCCCTTGGGACTAGAGTTGTAGACAGCTGTGAGCTGCTGTGTCTATCCTGGGAATTGAACCTGGGTTCTCTGAAAGAGCAGTCTGCGCTTGTAAGAGCAAATGCTCTAATCCACTCAGCTGCCTCTTTTCAGCTGCAGAATTCACTTTCCTTTATGATACTCATCACTTTCCATTAGGAGAAAAAATTAATTCTGCATTATAAGAACAAGTAATACTAAGGATTAAGACTTACTTGTGAGCTGGGCATGGTGGTGCACGCCTGGGAGGCAGAGGAGACAGATCTCTGTGAGTTCAAGGCCAGCCTGGTCTACAGAGTGAGTTCCAGGACAGCCAGAGCTACACAGAGAAACCCTGTCTAGAAAAAAAAAAAAACTAAGAAAAAGACTTATTTGTGGCCGGACATGGTGGCTCATGCCTTTGATCCCAGCTTGGGAGTCTGAGACAGGAGCATCTTGGATTAGAGGCCAGTCTGGACTTCTGTACAAATAGGGAAAGACTTTTTTGTTAGGTTCAACTTTAGAAGGCTATAAAACATTTAAGATACCTAAAATGTTTACCTCCCGAAAGCCAATTTTAGCCCTGCTGGGGACAGTGTTTCTCCAGTTGAGAATGTACATTCTAGTCTTGCACAGTTTTTACTGTATTCCATGTAGGTGGTCCAGCTTGTTGAATTTGAGGACCTTGAGATTAAAATTAAAATTGAGGTTAAAATGAGTTACTCATAGTATTTAAGAATATATCTCCTGAGGTAGAGAGATGGCTCAGTGGTTAAAATCACTTGTTGTTCTTGCAAAGGTTCCCTGATTCAGTTCCCAGCATCTGCTTGGTGGCCCACAACTCTCTCTAACTCTAGTTTTGGGGAATCTATTGCCCTCTTCTGGCCTCAATAGTATCAGTCATGAATATGGTACACATAACTACAGGGAAAAACTCATACACAAATCCTTTTTCAAAGAATATATCTCTATAGCTTGTTGTGGTGGGCATACCTTAATCCCAGCACTTGGGAGGCAGAAGCACAGGGATCTGTGAGTTCAAGGCCAGCCTTGTAAGGAATTCTTTTCTATAACTGCAGTGGTGTTAACCATGCTTAGGAAGTTAATTATCAGTAAAGTCTTTTTTTAGTGTATGTGTGTGCAAGTTCATGTATGTATGGATGGCTACGTGTAGGTACTTGGGTTTGTGTGGCAGACAGAGGACAACCCTGGGTGTTGTCCTTAGGAGCACCTTCTGCCTGCTTTGAGACACGATCTCCAATTAGGCTAGACTAACTGAACAGCAAAACCCATGGGTCCTCCTGTCTTTTCTTCCTGGTGTTGGGATTATAGGCACATATGCCCTTATCACACATTTCTAGATGTTCTCCCCACAGGCCCCGAGCCAGTCAGAGTTCAGACGTGTACTTACTGTCCCTTTAGCCTCTTTGAATTGAAAACTGTCTTCTTGCCTTGTTTTGTATTTTATGACGATGACTTTTTTAGTCCAGTCCACTTTGTTTCTTAATTTGAAGTGAGGAAAGGCACACTGTAACAGCGATTTAGTTCAGTGTTGATTTACAATTTTAATTTACAAATGTAAATAATTTATCTTGATCATATCCATCGCCCACTCTCCCGTCTTAGGCATTTCTCTCAGGCATTCCCAACATACCCCACTTCACAGCCCCTGCCCTTCTCCTAGGCCCTTTCAAGTTTCCTGATTATATAATACACAGATATAAAAATTAAAAGCTAGTATCCACATGTGAAAAAGGATATACAGTGTTTGTCTTTTTGAGTCTAGGTGAGTCTAGTCCCATCCATTTGCTTGTCAATTTCACAATTTCATTTGTCCTTACAGTTGAATAAAACTCCATTGTGTATGTGTAGCACATCATCATCATCATCAGTTTATAGACATCTAGGCTGATTCTGCTTCCTGGCTATTGTGAAGAGAGCAGCAATGAACACGAATGTGCAAGTTTCTCTGAGGATATGGAGTCGTTAGGGTGCATCCAAGAGTGGTCTAGCTGGGACACATGGAAGTTCTGTTTTTAGCAGTTTGAGAAACTCCATGGTGGCTATACCATTTACATTCCCACCAACAGTATATCAGGCCTTCTTTCCTTGCGTGCACACCAGCATTTGTTTCTCACCATAGCCGTTCTGACTACGGTGAGGTTTCAGAGTAGTTTTAATCATGTTGAACACTTACTTCTTCAGTGCATACTAGCCGTTTGTCCTCCTTTGAGAATTCTCTGTCCAGTCCCATTCTAATAACTGGCTTTCCTCAATGTGTAGTCCTTGGATTCCTTGTGTTTTCTAGAATCCTCTGAAGATTGTTCTCTCATTCTGTAGACTGTTTCTTCACTTAATTGACAGCTTTCTTTGTTGTCAAAAGCTTTTTAATTTCATGAGACCACACTTGTGGATGATTGGCCTTATTTCCTGAGCAGTCAGAGTACTGTTTAGATAGTCCTTACCCATGCCTATATTTCAGTGTACTCCTTTTACCCCTGGCAGTTTCAGGGCTTAGCTTGAGGCCCTAGATCCACTTGGAATTGATTTTTTAGTTTAGTTGATTTTCTTTTCTTTTTTTGTGGGTAGATAGCCAGTTTTCCCAGTACCATTTGTTGAACATGCTGTCTTTTCTCTATGTATTTTGGGCATCTTTGTCAAAACTCCAGTGGCTGAAGTTGCATGGTCTTATGTTTGGGTTCCCTATTGTATCCCATTTACTCATTGAATCTGTTTTTATATCAGTACCACGCTGTTTTTATTAATATGGATCTGTAATATAACTTCAAATCAGGTATGGTGATAACTTCAATGGCTTGATTTTTGCTTAGGATTGCTTTGCCTCTCCAGGGTCTCTTGTGTTTCCATAT